ACTCATTGAGATTACGACGTCAATGGTAAGGGGGTCGGGAAAGGGATTGCTTATCCGGCGTCCAGTCGAGAAAAGGGGTTACCAATGATGATAACAAGGGGTAGAAATATAAGAATAAGAATTATTAACATCTCATAACCTCGATTGCTACCATGCGACAATACTATTGTGCATTGACTAGTTTAGGGATCTAAGAGATGTATAGTTTGTATTTCCAAATAGTGAGCAGTTATTGATTATTTTTAAGACTAGCTGCTAATTGTAAAGCTGTAAGCTGAATTGTAGCTGTATCCCGTCGCAAACACTATACCATTGCACTCCGAAGGGAAAGCACGAGTCACAGAGGTTGCCAATGGGACTAAGTAATAGTCCCGACATATTACAAAGGAAGATGAGAGCACGCATGCATGACTTAAAAAATGTCCGTGCATACGTGATGATCAACTTATCCTAACGGACGTCGATTTCGCAGATCGCGTTGAATAGTATGATGACCTTTTCCCAAAGATTCCAAGAAGTCGGGATTGGAATCAACACTACCAAGGTCCTCCTCGATAGGAAGAACTGGAGTATTCAGACAATTGGACTACTCAAGAAGGCCAACTTTAACTAAAAAGATAAAAGATGCGATCCAGCTATCGCTCTTCCTAACAACAGGAAGTAACTTCGTAGATTCATTGGACCAATGAACTACAAGGGCTGCTCCAAGACAACAGACGAGTAACCATCGTTCTAAACAGACGTGGGTTACCAGTATCCATGACCGGTCGTTATGGACAAGAGAACGTGAAACCCGCGTAGAGGTCGAGAAAACTCTCCGGGATGAACATGTACTTCGTTGCAAGTTCACGCGCGTCATTCGTGACAAGATTCACCATATCCGTTTCAAGCAAACCGGAAATTACATAAAAGGAACAGTCGGCCAACGACTTATACAGAAAAAACCGATAAGAAGAACACGACAAGTGTCCCTAATCAATACAAAGTCAACGAACATCCTGATGATCGGATCAGTGGATCACACCGGCAAACTGGTCAGCCAAGCAGACAAGAAATCCTTACATCTAAGCACCGATATAAATGACAATGGTACTGTAGCCGCATGCTACCGCCAATAGGCGACACAGTCTACCAGATTGGAACATAATGGTATTACACCTATACAAGGCTGATACCCTTGTATGGATTGCCATCGTGCGAGGCACATGACTACATCAAAACTCATGAGAGGCCCCGCACTTTAATCTAATGTTTCTTGTCCGACTGGTTGTTCGTGCCTCCGTGACCTTGTTCAGTGGCGAATGCAATCTAACGGCTCTTAGCCTTATTCCGGACTCGTCCTAGAATAGGGTCTGAGTTCGACTGATGACGTAGTCTTCGCGAAATAGTCATTGGAGACAAATTACTCAATGCCGCTTTAGTCAGACGAGGTGATTGTGAAACACGTTGCTAGATAATTTAGCAGCTTGGAGTATTCCACGCCACTAGTTGAAATGCTAGACGAATTTTCACGCGTGTTCAGTTTTGTTGATGTGGGTGAGTAGGATTGCTCCGCAACCTACTCTATCCTCACTCACAGTCCCGCGGGAAAGTTCAGATCGTTAGGGACAGTCCTTTGATTGTGCGATCTTCTCGTTTGATTAGTTTTTCTAGCTTTCTAATTCCTCTCATAACTTTCATTCTCTCAAACTCAAAACACTCGAAAGATCTTTACACTAGCTTTTAGCGTAGTGCAAGAACCTTGATTGTCACAGATGGTACCATCCAAGCGACCAAGCTGGGTAACAGATGCCGTGCCACCATTGGCACACACAGGGGCTTCAGACTCAGGCAAAGGTTGCAAATCATACAGTCCAAACAGGTGACAGGTCATTGAGTAAGATGCACCAGAGTCAACAATCCAGACATTGGGGTCTTGCAAAAGAGCAACAGAATTGGGGAACTCTTGCAAATGCTCAGAGAGCCTGTCAAGCACCTGGACTTGAAGGTCAAAGAGATCAACAACTCCCATCAGGATGTCGAAACCTTTACCACCCCCACCACCTTTACCACGTGAGCCTTTCTTGGGCTTGGGACTTGCAGCAGCAGCATTGACCTCAGTCTTGTCCTTCTTGGGGACATACCACTTGGGCTTCTTGTCTACATTGTCTGGATGGTCCCAACAGTCTGCAGCCTTGTGGCCCTTTCTGCCACAGTAGTTGCAGTTGCCAGTGAACTTCTGGCGGTTGTTGTTACGATTGTTAGGACCCTTTCCCTGCTGCTGTTGTTGTTGCTCACCTGCAGCCATCGAAATGTCACGGTCAGACCTCTGATCAGTGCCACCAGCAGCTTTCTGGACAAGGCGTCTGCCTTCAGTCAACCGCCAGTGCTCATGCATGACATCACACAGGTCTTGCAGCTTGAGAGCGTCGCCCTTGTTGTGCTGCTCCATCGTAAGGACAGTGTGATACTGTTCAGGAGCGGCAGCGATCACAGCCGAGATCAATTCATTTTGGTCAATCTTGCTTTGCTTCACAGGATCCCAAAACTTGCATTCAATCTCACTGATTCGATTGAACAGGGCAACTGGATCTTCCTTCTTCTTCAGGGACAAAGCCGAGAGTTGCAAACGGAGCTCGACATGGCTGACGGTATCTTTGGGACGGTACCGATCTTCAAGCCCTTGGATGACTAGATACGCTAGTCCACTTGGCCAAGCCGTTGTAATGGCCGCGAAAATCAGTCCAAACAGGATAGGACTGGTCAAGGACACTTGCAAGATCCACATGGCCAAGAGGTTGCGCTTACGGGCAGCCTTGTTCTCAGTAGTTTCATTTGCTCCTTCGGCTTCAGTATCAGGTAGCTCAGCTTCCTTGGTAAGAGCCGCAGCACACTTGTGAATCGCACAATAGGATCGCAGACGCATCATGTACATCATATAGCTCTCGGGCTTTCCATCAAAAGTGGGTGGCTTACCCACAGCCTTGCTGATGTCCGTTGGGTCGGACATGACTTCGAGATCTTCAGGGACTTCAGGAACTGTAGGACCACCAGCTTCACTGTCACTTGACAAGGCTTGTGCGTCCTCTTGCTCGATTACTCCAGTATCGACAAGCTCTTCCTGTTCTATCTGGCGCAGTACACGGAACCAGACTCTATCCAGGTCTTGTTGGTTGGCCATGCAAGGCGGACCACAACACCGGACACTTCACTGACTATTGGAACCCTTGGCTACCACCTGGTACCTTCGATATGTCTGTCAGACACTTGGTTCCCAAACTCGATGCTCTGAACTGCACTGTAGGAGCTCAACTTGGTAAGCACTCAGCCTCAGGTCAACACAGAATCTGTATGGTAAAATCACCACACAGAACCGTGACTGACTCCAAGCGTGACTGGGACTGGCTTGCTCTCGGAACGGTGACTCGATCCGTGACAGGACTCGAATCGGTGACTGGACTCAATCAACCGTGACTGGTTCAGTCTTGTTGTCGGGACCAACTCCTGGCTTCAGACTTGCCTGACGCAGACACAGAAGTTGAGCAAGGTCCATGCAACGGCACCTTGTTCAAGATCTTTGTCTTTGTCCAACAATTCTTCTGCCAAACAGGAGATTGATCGCACCTCAACGGTAACTTCGAAGTTTGCTAGAGGTGCTACTTTGCTTTTAACTTTTGGCTATGCAATTATTGTGAGACTATCTGCAGTTCATTGCTTCTCTGCTGCTTCTTTTGTTTGATAGGCTTCTTGATCATGTATTCAGTAGGATCATAGGTAGCTGCTACAGCAGCCAGAACTCCATGTCATGGAACCAGAAATCCTGTGTCAATCAGAGTTCACTGATACTCACCGGTACTCAACAAGATGATGAGACATTCTGAGTGGGAGTTGAAATGACACACAACATCATTAAAATTTAGACTTTGGACTGTTTTGTTTTGTACCGTACCGGTAGCTAGTTAAGCAAATTAGACTTGTTGGCACACTTGCTCGATAAATAAGCTGCCGTTGGTCTTCTTCAAAGATCTTTCCTCTTTCCTTCCTTCCGCTACAGTATTTTCTTTGTGGACCCACATCCATCCAAACAAGCAAGATGACCGACTTTGATCGCAGCATGGCCCTTGATCTGACCGCCACTGGCGACTTGGATAATGGCGACCATGATTCCTTTACGACGATTGACGAGTACGAAGTGGAGCATCCTGAACAAGTCAAGGCAGCCTTTGCGGCAATTGGCGACCCATCCCATTTGTTGGATGCTCCATTGGAAACGAGCAACAGCACCGTCTCGGACAGTAGCAAATCCAACGCGAGTGTCTACGAAAAAGTCAAGTATCACGACGAAATTGGAAAGATCGTCCTGACAGATGCCAAGATCACTTTTCATCCGTACGATGGTGGCGCTCCCACGCGTGGATCGTTCATCGTCCGCAATCATGCCGAGTTTACGGGAAGTCATTCCTGGCGATGGAAGATGATCAAAAAACACAAAATCAGCCCTACCACATCGTCCAAGACTATGCTCAAGTTGATCAGTGCCGAAAGTGACAAGAAGGCTGTGGTTTTTACCTTTTACAACCGTGAGCAGTTGGAATTAATTCGCAAAGATGTGACCAAGCATCTACGACAGGCTCATCATCGCACACCCAAAACGGAAGGCAAAGAGGAAGAAATTGCAGCTACATCCAACAAAAAAGCAACAAATGGCACTGTCGAGTCCAACGCAAGAGAACAACCAGCTGTTGTGCAAGAAGCTGCAGCCACCGAGGCGACGGCCCTTTTGGGTACAAAATCAGCTGCCACAACAGAACAAGCTACGTCGACCGAGAGTGCTTCTCCCGAATTGGACAAATCCAAATTAGTCATTGGGGCAGTGGTGGCTGTGATTGTCATTATTGTGCTCGGAAGCGGGTTGAGGCCCTCTTCCGCATCCATTTTGCCCGACCCCATCTTCCATCGAGCCCTTGTGGATCAGCAATCATCAGGATCCGATGGAAATCTAGTTCCTGCTGCAGATGCGTTGCAGTATCTGAGGGGCAATCTTCACTAGTAGAAAAAGAAACTACTAGAGTATGGCACGGTACCTGATGGTATTGGTACGGTGCCATGACTGAGGGAACCTACCGATACTGATCCACAAACGACTAACATAGAGCAAATGTGAAGGATGACAGCTTCGAAGCGTTAAACATTAAAAGATAAAGTACAAGATTGCATGCTTCTGCTCTTGTTCCCAGCTGGCCAGCTCTGGAGCAGCTTCAGATGTGGCCACCGAAAGACTGGGATGTGTCATGTTTCAGTTGTGTTTGGAACGAGAGAATTCGAGATTTCTCTTGTATGGTACAGGTACAGATTGCAAATAGCCAAGGATTCGCCCCGCACAGCATGTATATGTAATAAGGATTCGATTACCTCAGAGCCCACGACATCCGTACCTCAGAAACATACTGCATCAATCGTACCAGTCTTACTTTATTTGTCTTGCGCAGTCTGCCTCCAAGCCCACAAATAAAAGATCTCGGCTTCCACTCCAAAGAAGGCTTGCTGCACTTTGTGGACGTATTCGTGTTCAAACACAAATCCCTTTTCCGTGAGGAGCTGTTGGATGGGTTTCAGTGTATGACCTTCCACTTCCATTGTGAATTGTTGAATGCGCGGCCAGTGGTCGTCACGGATTCCCTGTAACACGTCCAATTCAGCGCCCTCGACATCCACTTTCACCAAATCAATGTTGGAAATCTTATATTCGTCAATGACACTGGAAAGCGTCCGCACTTGACAGGTAATGGGTTGTGTTTTCACCATGGCATGAGCGAATTGGCGGGCACCCCACAGGACCAAACTGCGGGGAAACCACCGGAGCCACCAATTCTCTGGTTTCTTGACAATTTCATCCGTAATGGTGGGCAAATTCTGATAGAGGTCTTGGTTGCGTTTTTCGTCCATTTCCTTGTCGGATGTGGTCCAACCACATTGATGCGGATGATGCCAAAAGGTAATTTCGCCGTCTTTGGAGGACAGTCCGTAATTGAGCGCGTGGAATTTGGCATTGCCTTGCTCTGCATCAAAATGACGATCGCCATTCGCCTTCAAGATCCTGTAGGTCGATGGGATGGGTTCAAAGGCATAGATTGTGGCGTCGTTGTTGCATTTGTCTTGTTTGGCATACAAGGAAAACAAGCCCGTATTTCCGCCAACGTCCAACACAGTGGCACCGGGCTCTAACTTGAGTTTGTCACATTGAAAGTAGGAATCATAGGTCCAGATTTCTTCGTAAATGAGTTCTGTCTCTCCCTTATCGTGAGCAAAGACATTCAGACCGTTGGGAAGCACCACTTCTTGGAGTGCCGGGTCTTTCTCCTCTTTGGAAGACGAACAACAGCAACAAGACATCTTCTGTAAGGTACAATAGTGTAGAAGGCGATGTGTTTGACACAGTTAGTATGTATACCAGTTTCCCAGTTTAGTTGGAGCCTGCTGTTTGGTGGGTCTTGATAAGGAAAGATGACTCGACTCCAGCAACGGTCAAATTTCATGGGCTGCAATAGCAATAATAATGCAACTTATAGGCCGCATCCTTTCTACGAGTATTAATATACCGGGCAGACCCCGGTGATCTCTGAACACATTTATTGTGGTGGTGGTTGGTTGGTTGGTTGGTTGGTTATCCTTAGGGTTAGAGTTTATCTAAAAACGAAGCCCCCTCTTGGGCCCCCGCATTTCTTACACATTCTCTTTTATAGCAATGGATCCTGAATATTTTCCTCACATTTGCACACCTCTAAACTCCCGTAAGCTACCACACCACTTTCTCAGATGGAAAAATCTAACATCTCACCAGCCAGCCAACTCCCTTAAGCTTCCACGCCACTTTTTCAGATGGAAAATCTAACGTCTCACATTTCACACCTCTAATCTCCCCTAAGCTACCACGCCATTTCCCAATGGAAAATCTAACGTCTCCCGCTGCACACCTCTAAACTCACATAAGCTACCATGGCACA